CGATGCATGGTTTGCGCCCGTTACTTCACAAAGGAAATGGAAAAGAAGCAGCATGAAATGAAATGCAAAAGCCGGCACTACGATTGCTATTTGTGCAAGCCATATTCGACGTTTCATAAATCAAATCTGATGAGACACATGCGAACCCATCATACAGGTGCCAAACCATTTCGATGTGAATTGCACAACAAATGCTTCGCACAGAAATTCCAACTCAAGCAACACCAAAAACACAACCATAAGTGATATAAAAAATACCTAGAATTTGGTAGGGAGCCCGTAGCAAAAGACATTTCCAACATCAGTCATAAATTCAGTGTCAATTTATTTTGAAAAATTCAATAGAAACCACCCAACTGATTCATTTAATACTACTGAACAAACATGAACTAGACTCAATCCATAGTAAATTTGTTCAAATTAATGCATAGATAAAAGTTTCTAAGCACATACTCAAATACTGTTCGGCTTAATCAACCATTTCACTCACTTTTCAATAAATAAACGTTATCAAATCTGAAGTCGGATAAAGAATCTTAATGAATTCTAAACACAAATTGTTGGCCATTAAATCTGTAAAAGAAAATAGTCTTACCGGAACACATTGTAGACTTTAAAGAAGGAAAATCAATCATTTTGAATTCTTGTTGGTTTTCTTATAAGCATATAAACATGAAAAACACATAAATAAACACAATTAGATTTGTACGAAGCAATTGAAATAAAACAAATCGGCTTTGTGTCGGTTATAAAAAAAGAAATGCGTTGACTAGTTTGATTTATTTGCAATTCGGCTACTAAATGAGTCCTATTCTTTGAAAAGTTGACATTTTATTTTATTTTCAGGTCATGGTTCATTTTGATGTAAGTTTATTGCAAAGTTGAACAAATCAATGATCATGCCTTAGTTTTATTTACTAAATACTGAGAACGATATAAAAAAAGTGAAGAACAAAATTAAGAACTAAGCATAAAGAAAAAGCCAGAGATTGCATATTTGCTGCTGGGTAGGCCTGAGCTGAACTGGATTTGCTAACTCAGGCGCCTGAAGCGGTATTTTAGCGCACTTACGGTGCAAAATTGTTGTGAATCGCTGGAATTCTCGCTGTTTATCAATTATATTTGCGTGGATAACAGCGATCCAAAACAATTTTGCACCGCAAGTGCGCTAAAATACTGCTTCAGGCGCCTGAGTTAGCAAATTCAGCTCAGCTCAGGCTACTCAGCAGCAACTATGCAATCTCTGAGAAAAACAGAATGTTTCACATTCATTTCAATGAAATGATTCGAATGAATTTTCGATTGATTTCTTTATGTTGGTAATCAAATGTTGGGCTATAGCTAATTTTTGTTTGCATTCGATGCAACTTATTGACTAATCGATAAAAAAGAGTTATTGTTCTTTAGATCAATACTATTTCGAAACGGTAGAAAATCCAGCGATGGAAATGAATGATATAAAATTAAGCGTTGAAATATCAAGTCTTTGTTGAAAAATGATGAGAACGTTAAGCAACTTCGTGGATTGAAATGGATTACAATACTCGAATGCCGAACGTCCTTTGACTGATGCCATTTGATGCTTCGCTTTAATGCGTGGCTGATGTAAACAGACACGAAGTTGTCTTGGCCTCGAATCTAAATTCGGTCCAAAACATCTGGATAGAACTGTTTCGTTCCCTCGAAGCCTCGCATAACCTTCATCATCAATCCATCGTCAGCCGAAGCGAAAAAGTTCGTTGTGTTGACGCATACGTCAAGTACAGGTCGATTTTTCGGTAGTTTTACCATGGGCTTTTCCTCTGATTCCACATCACCAATTTTCAATACGCGCTCTTTACCATAGTAAGGGCAGTCGTCGTGGTATTTCAGACCACACAAAACCATTCGAATGTGCTCTTCCTTTCGAACGGTGTCCGGTTCGAGGTTTTGAAACAAAATGGCCAACTTCAGCTGCTCCATTTGACGGAATCGTTCAGCGCAGACTGCCATTGCACTGAGACCGTTCCCTTGCACCGTCAGTATTTTTAACCAAATTGAGGTGCTTCATTTGAACCATTTGATCCAAGATCAATTCGATGTCGTCGTAAGACCCGCGAGTAAGTACCAGGAGCGATAAATGTGGCAGATTTTCAGCAATCACGGTGAATGTGCCAATATCGACGATCGTATCAAGTTGCAGTAGATTCAACTGTGGATTCAATTCGATGAAACGATGGAATTTCTCACCACTCTCTGTGTCACTGGCAGTTCTGATATTTCCCGTTAGTAACAAATTTGAAAGGCTAGGCCAATTCTGAACCGTTGAAACCGAACACTCGCCATCCCAGGACATTGAACCAAGCTCCAATGTTGCCAAATTTAGACAAAATTCCGGCAATGCATACAACACGGAGGCATTGGAATTGACAATCAATTTCAGGTTTTCCAACCGCTGAAGCATAGGCGCCAAGTCATCAAGTAGCTCGAGTGTGATCGTTTTGGCATCACTAATTGTCAGCCCCTTGAGTCGTTCACCAACACAAGTACAAAGGACTTGAATGGCTTGCTTCACGTATTCACCATCCGTAAGACAATTCACCTGGATGTCTTTTGGCTCAATGTCGAAGATAATCTTGTATTGGTTGACACGATCTTTAAACGGCCGGAAAGCCTCATACACTTTTTTCAAACCCAATGGCTGATGCAGGTGAACAGTCGGCATCATTTGTCCACAGTCACAAAATTCTTTCATCACATCAGAAAAACTGGCTTTTTCTTTGCAACACGGATCTGCGTCGTTTATTGCTTTGATTTCATCAGGTGGGAGCACAACGACACCTGGTTAACGCCATGTGTCGGCAGGAAGCACCTTGATTGCCTTTGAGCCACGTCGATTTGCCATGAAACCGTTGAATGCATCTTCGCTACGGGCGAATGTCACATACGCCTCGTGAATATCGGCTGTGCCAATCGCATTTGCACCAATCGATTCCTCGTTCACTGTGTAAACCGATTCAACCGTACCGTAGGACTCGAAATGCTGACGAATCAATTCGTTGCATGCTGCTGCATCACCCTATTCGAAAACACATGAAAAATGTTATATTCTCATATTGGGCAATAAGTTTTTTCCTTCATAAGTTGGAAAAGACTTCCTTATCAATAGCTCAAAGTTAGAAAAATGCTCCCAAAATACATACCTCTTTCGGCCATTGCACAAACAATTTGCGAACAATGAAAAAGCGACTCTTGTCGTAGTCATCCGAAGCTTCAATCAAATTCCAGTTGTAGTCATTCCAGATGAACAAATCCATGGTCGGTGGTTGAAGTGTTTTTCTACGAAATCGTTTAGAACTAGCGATGAAAAGTTGCTGATAAATGATCAATTTTGAAACATGAAGTACAGTCACGTTTGACTTTAGCGAGGGACAAATTACGTTTGATACCAATTAGTGCGCAAAAATCGAGATGTATCGATGCAAACAGCTAGCGACACCATCGACACGGTGGCTGCAAAATGTATTTGCAATGTCGATGTCTGTGTTTGTGTGCGTAATGCAACACTGTGGTTTTTCTTTGGAGTCAACAGCTACATTCTAATGGTTTGACACCGTATGCATTTTGTTTGAATGTGTATGTGGAACGGAGGGGGAAGAATGGAATCGTACGATTCGCATCGACCAATGAAATTCACGTAATTTTCATCGAACGATCAAACAGAAAGAGAATGCTTTCGTAGACAAAACAACGAGTTCGGTGCACTCTGGAATCGTGTGTGGTCTCACTGTAAGAGAAAAATGAAATGCAAAGCAAACTTTTTTATGAGCATGAAATGACTTTTTATTACGTTCAAGTCATGTCAAATTCCGTTTAACACGAATGATTCCAGCTTTGATCGAAAAATGTTGTAAGTAACCGTACAAGTTGTGCTGCTGCATGAATTTCAAAATGAAAATTTCCCTGCCTTCTGAAAATTATGAAAAATAGGCTCTTTCTTTCCAAAAGTCTTGAAGAAAATAACAATAAAACGCCGGTCTTTTCGTAATTGATGAGCACAGTCTCTTTGAAAGAAAAATCGATGAAAAATGCTATTTGCTCTAATTAAAGATACCTTTTGCCAATTGAACATTCAAACTGACCTCGAATTACGAGAAAAAAACACCCGGTTTTTTCTTACAAAAGATTTTTTTTTATTCTGACATGATTTGTCTTTGGTTCTTCAATGTCAGTTCACAATATTTTCTCTTCCATTCTGTCTTCGATTGAGTTTTCATAGATCTTTCTGAAGAAAAATGACAATCGATCGAAAGTTGTATTCAAAAAATGTTTTTGTAGTTTTTGGAATCTATTTCCAAGACGAATGATAAACGAATTTTTGAGTGATTAATCGATCGAAGCTTTCAAAAAAAACTCCTTCAATTTGTCTACATCACATAAAATTCGATTCATATTTAACAAATTGCTCATCGAATTTCTTGCAAAGAGTGAAATCAAGCAAGAGCTTATCATTAAGGAAGAATCTGAAGAAGGTGTTGTTACAATTGTAGCAAGGTCATGAAATTGGAGTTGAATTCGAATTTGGATGTTTCTTTATCCTTACTGAAAAAAAGTATTTTTTAATAAGGTTTTATGGCAAATCTATTTTTCGATTATTCGAGTCTAACATTAGTCTAAACTTAAATAGAACTGAATTGTGGATGGTAGTTTTATTTCTGATTGAATCACTTCTGATTTGCGGTTTTATAATGGAATCAGCAATCGGTGTGATTCAAAGTGTGCTGGCGACATGAAGAAACACGAATCGCTCATCCTCTTGAATGACAGTTGATTTGTGCACGTTCGGATAGAACTTCTTTGCTGCTTTGAACATGGTGAAAATGCGTGCTTCCAATGTGTCGTCGGCCGATTTCAAGTCACCTGCCACAGAAATTAGAATGGTCAATGTGCGTTTGTTCTTCGGCAAAGTGATGGGATCAGTGTGATCGCCAAACGTGAGAACTCGGCTGTCCTGACCATGGCAGTTGCAATTGGAATGATACGTCACAGGGAAGTCTTCAATAACGACCACTTTTTTCTCTTCCCGCGAATATGTCTGCTGCAGCGTTGACAGTTCCAATCGTTTCATTTTGCTGAAGCATTCAACGCAGGCAAGAAGTGACTTGAAATGGCATGTTTTGAAGATCCATGTCGTGACCATGATTGTCTGCAAACGTTTCAATCGCACCAAGTGATTGAAGATTGCGCCAATGCCCTCGAAGGTATCACGACCGATGGTCAGTAGCTTGAGATCTCGCAAACCTTTCGCAATCACCTTGAGCAATGAGTTGTCAACCATAAAATCCACCTCCAATGAGTCGAGCTGTGGATTCAGTTTGATGAAGCGACGGAATCGTTTGCCATCGTCAGTGTCACTGTCCACATTCAAAGGAACACCTTTGAGCACCAGGCGGGTGAGCGTTGGCCACGATTGAATGTTGATATTCTCAGCGTCTTCTTGCCATTCTCTACCCAGCAAATGGAATGTCACCAAATTCGGACAGAATGTGTGCATCAAATACAGAATGTGGCAACAGTCTGTGTCAATGGTCAGGGTTTTCAGTGGCTTCAATGTAGGTGCCAAACTGTTGAGCAACGCCTTTGAAACTCCACCAATTCCACGGATTGTTAGCTCTTGCAGTTTCGGTCCAGCCGCATTCATACCAACGATTTCCATGAGTCGACGCTGAAAATCACCTTTGCCTACACCATCCTCGTCGGCCGCAGTTTTGAATCCATAACACATACGCAGTTTCAAATGACCAACGAATGGTTTGATGTTCAGCAAATCTCGGCGCACTTTGCCCAGTGTGGTGCCCGCTTTCAACTCCAAATCAACATCAATTACTGTGTGCTCACACATTACCTCCGTACCGCGCAATGACAACTCATCTATGGCACAGGTCATGTCGGCAATCGGCTTGTCGCATTTGTGATTGCATTCGATGTAGGCCTTTCGCGTCTCGCTCTTGTTTGTGTACTCCGGCTGATGCCAAGTGTCGGCTGGTACCAAATGTGTGAGGTTTTTTCGGAAACATTTCACTCTTGAGCGTCTCGTATGCGTCGATGCTTTTTTTGAACTGCACATAAGCCTCGTGTGCTACTGCCGCTTTGTTGCCGTGGCCACCGATGTGCAACGATGACTCTGGCTTCACTATTTCCACACTGTCCACTTCGCCAAAGTGTTCGAATGCACCACGAATTTCCTCCATTGCATCCACTGTGCTCACCTATAAAAAGAAGAATGTCATCGCTTTATTATTTCCGTTTTATGATTTGTAATTTGGGAGAATTGATGATGTTTTCTATGATTTCGATTCAAAATTGGAATCGAGCGGACGAAAATTCAGATACTGAGTCTAAAAAAAAATGCTGGAAAGAAATCTTGTTCCTTGGAGATAAAATCCCTTTCTTTTTCTCACACACACATAATAATCTAATCGGAATGAAGAAAATATGGCTTACATTGTATCGCACAAACAATTTTCGAACGACGGTGAAGGTCTTATCGTCGTATTTTTCACCTTCTTCAATTACTCGATAATTGAGATCGTCCCAAATGAATAGCTTCATCGTTTCTTTTTCCTTCTTCTCTTTTTCAACTTTGAAAACAATGAATAATTAGACTTTAAAAAAAATGAGCTCTGAACAGCTACAAAAGTCACGACATCGTATGACAGTACACAACGAACAATAGGCTTTGATTGACAAATGGAACAAGAAATGCGTTCTCGGACATAGTGCAAGGTGCCACACCGCTTGTGATGCTGTCTCAACACACTTACACGCTTGTGTGATTGTGTTAGTCAAGTCAGAGCTCTTCATCGTATTTATGCTGAGACAACTCTTCTTCGCATCAACACTCACTAATTTAAGCAACGCTGCAAACAACCAAGAGAGTGGTTTGTTTATGATGCACAATTTTTGAGTCACAAACAGCATCCGGCCAATATAAATTCTACCAAACAATTGCGTGCTGCTGAATTTGATGTTTTCGCTCTGAACTCAGCTTGCTTTCGTGTTGAAACGATACGAGTATAACGGGTTGACTTTCTGCATGACTTTCATTGTATGATTTTTGTTTATGTAATGAAGTGTGTAAACAAAAACAAATCTGCTCGTTTGATTGAGAATATAGTCACTGTATGATTGTATACGATAAGCTTAGTCATCACTTTGTGATAAAACAAAATAATTTCCATTAATAGCACAAATACTCAAAATTATGTGAATAAAAGCCAATAGCTAGCCAAGACCGAATATGCAAGTGATCCAATAAACTAACAAATTGTTGTGCAATGTGCAAAAATGCAGCGGGTACGATCAACTGCTGAGCCATACATTTGCGAACGTTTGAACATAAGCCCAGTTTAAGTCTTTTCGCCGCAGTCTGACTCTGAATACCATTCAACTGGTCCATTTTCAACGATTATTTTTAGCTTTTTTCAAATATTCAGCAATGTTCATTGTTCAATGCGTGACATTTGACGTCGATGTGTCGTGACGTGAGCGCTCCTTTCGCGAACCGACACGACTTCGATTCATTCATTGACAAGCTGTCCATGGCATGTGTGTGAAGTGAAGAGCACATTTTCGTCAAAAACTCGATTTTCATCGTGTCGCCATAAAAATCACCTTAAATAGCAATCATCTTGCTCGATTCCAGCTAGAAAAAGGTTGAATTTTAATTCTGGAACAGAACTAAATTCAATTGGGATTTTATTTTCTATTTCGGTGTAATATTCTGGATTAAAAAGAGCGAAAAGCCTCATTGTGTGATTTTGTCTTTGGAATGTCAATCTGATTGAGAGAGATACGGGTAAATAAACTCAACAATTTTCAAATTTCTATTGACTTTATTCCAGGATTACGTCAATTTATTAATTTGAAACTAATAATTTAATGGACTCGTTTCTTTCAGCATTGGTTTTGGAACAATGAACAACCAATGCAAAAGTGGAACACACGTTCCACTCAAAGCGAAGCCATTGGTAGCTCGCTCCGATGTCGTCGAGGTAAAACAAGAGCCCACGATCAAAGAGGAACCAGAAAGTCATGGCGAAGCGCTTATGGTATCCGTGCCACGACAGCGTTATTGGGGTTTAGCAGTTGAACTCGGCGCCGACAGAGCAAATAATGATCCAAGTGTCAAAGATTCGTATTCAACGCATGTCAAACTAGAGCTCAAAGCTGAAGCCGATATCAAAGTTGAACCGAAGTCGAAGGAAGGCAAACGATCAGATAAAAATGACACATCGAAAGAAAATGGAAACTGTGAAGCGGACGGACAGTGGAAAAAAGGGGATGCGGTGCCACGGTCATCGAATGGATGTTCGAAGAAAAAGAGCATTGATGTGACGGGTAGAGCTAAGGCGGTAATCAATGCTGCGCATAGAAAACAGTCAGCGGTAAAGAGGACCAAGAAACAGCACAAGTGCTCAACATGTGGATATGTTGCGCCAAACCCATCCAAATTGAAGAGCCATATGTTCAAACACACTGGTGAAAAACCATTTCCTTGCAAAATTTGTAACAAACGATTCACACAAAAATCGAACCTTCATGCACATTTGAAAACACACACCGATGAATATCCGTTCAGTTGTTCAGTTTGTCTCAAGAGATTCGCACAGGATGACGAAAGACTGGTGCACGAGAATGTTTGCAATGGGCGACGCTTCGAATGCCATTTGTGCAAGGAGTATTCTACTTCAAATGAGGCTCATTTGAAGGAGCACATGCGTGTGCATAGTGGCGATCGACCATTCCGATGCAGCTTTTGCTCCAAAAGATTCACACTACGATCCAGCCTAAAGGTTCATTCGAAAGTCCACACAAATCCTCGTCCCATAAAATTCCGATGCATGGTTTGCGCCCGTTACTTCACAAAGGAAAT